AGAAAAAGTAACCAATAAGGCAAAGCATATTACTTTTCCAGGAAAACAACATTAGTTGAAGATAATTATATTTGAAATATGTCCATTAAGCTAACCTGAACGTTTAACTCTGGGATTTACAAGGAAAAAGTGGGAGGAAAAGGAGGTTACCAATACAAGATAAATTTAAAGAGATTTTCTTCTATAAACCCAAGTGAACAAATCCATAATACATATTTTCATAGAAAAATAGATAGACTTGTACATTGTTTTTAACAGGATTTACACATCAACTTCAGTAGCCCCTTCTATTTGTAGTGTATCAGCAAATTCCTAAGTCAAAATTACAACTTTTTTTGCTTTCTGGTTCTATCACTTGCTATCTGAGGATCTTATGACAGTCACTTAGTGTCCCAGGCCTCAGGTTCGTCACCTGCAGAATGGGTATAGTAACTGTTATGGGGTTTAATCCCCATCATGTTATTAGGATTAAACACTGGCATAAATGTATCTATACATGTAATGGGCTTAGAATAGTGTCTGGCACATAGCACACATCAGTAAATGTCAGCCATCTTTATGATTGTTATTGTTATATGGTTCTGTTGTCTCATATGAAAACCTACACTAATTTTAAAGACCTCGTTGGGGGTATGAAATGGTGAAATGCCTAACGCACATTTGTTTCTATTAGTTAAAAAATGAGTACTTACATTTTATCTATCTATCTATCTATTTATTTATTTATTTAAATATATTTCTTTATTGATTTCAGAGAGGAAGGGAGAGGGAGAGAGAGATAGAAACACCAATGATGAGAGAGAATCACTGATCAGCTGCCTCCTGCACACCCCGCTACTGGGGATCGAGCCCGCAACCCAGGCATGTGCCCTTGGCCGGAATCGAACCTGGGACCCCTCAGTCCGCAGGCTGACGCTTTATCCACTGAGCCAAGCTGGCTAGGGCTGAGTACTTCATTTTTAAAAAGCAATCTAGAGTCATTTTACTGAATTTGGGGAACAGCCCTCTTTCGTCTTCCTCTTTGTCCAATTTTATTAATTATAATCTATCTTAAATGTGGCTGCTACAGCAATTTCATAGCCTTGGTAACAGCAGAGGTCACTTTAATGAGAGCAAACATCTAAGCCAAGAGAAACTATTTCTACGTTGGTTTAGTAGTGAAGTCACCTTCAGTGGCAGCAACTTCTAATAAGAAAAGCTAGTTATGACACACAAAGGGCTCAGTCACTTTCGACATGGTAAAGTTCAAATGGGAAATTGGAATTTCTCTCTGCTTTTGCCTTCCTTCTTTCCTCTTTCTCTTCCGCAAAGCTGAATATTTCTTGACAATGAATGAAACATGAGAGGATTTAGAAGTCTTATGTTTGGAAACTAAGCCAACCTGCATTCAAATACTAATTTTGACAGGTGCACCTGCATTTATTTTTGGTAAACAGAGAATGCCAGGAAATTCAACCCAACCAAATAGAAGAAAGTAAATCCTTTAATTTTAGGTTCCAGCGCAGGTCAAATTTAAACAAAACCTGTTTGTTAAATATATGCCCCTCTGAGATTTGGGGGAAATGAAAGGGCTCCTATAAAGAATGTTTAATGACTGGCAGTACCCTAAGGTTCTGCAACATATGTGTACAAGCTGCCTCCCCCTAACCCTGTTCACACACACAAATTACACCAGTTTACCTTCCTTCCTTCAGCAGCATCAGTGGGGACCCACTTTCCCGTATGTTCAGCAACTTTCCCTTTTAGCCTTTTTTAGTCTGATAGGTGGAAATGTTTTATTTTGCATTAAAGTGAACATCTTCCAAATACACATTGGCCATTTATGTATCTTTGAGAATTGACCACTTTCCTACTGGTATTTAATCTATTTGTTACTGACATTCTAAGTTTATGTTTAACTTTATTTGGAATCTATCTATCCTATATAATAAAAGGCTAATATGCAAATTGCCTAAACAGCAGAATGACTGGTCGCTATGACACACACTGACCAGCAGGGGCCAGACACTCAATGCAGGAACTGCCCCCTAGTGGTCAGTGCGCTCCCACAGGGAGAGCGCCGCTCAGCCAGAAGCTGGGCTCACGGCTGGCGAGCACAGCACCAGTGGCTGGAGCCTCTCCTGCCTCTGCAGCAGCACTAAGGTCCTCTCAGGGGATATCTGTCTGCCTAAGCCCGAGGGGTCCTGGACTGCGAGAGGGCACAGGCTGGGCTGAGGGACTTCCCCTCTTCAGTGCACAAATATCATGCACCAGGCCTCTAGTCCTATCTAATAATAGACAAACATGGTAATTAACCATACCTCTGACACACTTCCCATTGGCTAATCAGGGCAATATGCAAATTAACTGCCAACCAAGATGGCGGCCAGCAGCCAGGCAGCTGAAGCGAACAGGAGGCTTGCTTGCTCCAGTGATGGAGGAAGCCAAGGTTCCCCGCCTGCTGCCACTCAGCTCTGAGCTGCACTCTAAGCAACTATGTTGTAATTACAGAAGTTAAACAATCCCCAGAAACCTGCTTTCAGCCAGCCGGGCCTCAGAGCTGGAGTTGCAACAGTGTTTCAATTATAGAAGCTAAACAAAGCCCAGATACCTGCTTTCAGCAGCCGAGGTCTCAGAGCTGAAGCTGAGCCTCAGAGCTAAAGCTGGTTCTCAGCTCCAGTGACAGCCATAGAAGGTGAATAAATCCCAGAATAAAAAAAAAGAAAAAAAGGAGAGGTTGGGAGCTTCAGTCGCCTACCAGCCTGAAAACGGCCCTCAGCCCCTCACCCAGACTGGCCAGGCACCCCAGTGGATAACCCCACCCTGAAGGGGGTGTGACCAGCTGCAAACAGCCATCATCCCCTCATCCAGGCTGGCCAGGCACCCAACCAGGACCCCCACCCTGATCCGGGACACCCTTCAGGGCAAACCAGCCGGCCCCCACCCATGCACCAGGCCTCTATCCTATATAGTAAAACGGTAATATGCAAACTGACCCTAACAGCAGAAGGACTGGGAATGACTGGTTACTATGACACACACTGACCACCAGGGGGCAGACGCTCAATGCAGGAGCTGCCCTCTGGTGGTCAGGGCGCTCTCACATGGGAGGAGCTCTGCTCAGCCACAAGCCAGGCTGATGGCTGCCTGTACAGCAGTGGTGGTGGGAGCCTTTCCTGCCTCCTCAGCAGCGCTAAGGATGTCCAACTGCAGTTTAGGCCTGCTCCCCGCTGGCAAGTGGACATCCCCCGAGGGCTGCCGGGCTGCGAGAGGGATGTCTGATTGCCATCTTAGGCCCAATCCCCCAGAGAGCGGGCCTAAGCCAGCAGGTGGTCATCCCCTGAGGGGTCCCAGACTGCGAGAGGGCACAGGCTGGGCTGAGGGACCCTCTCCCCCCAAGTGCACAAATTTTTGTGCACCGGGCCTCTAGTATATATATAAAAGCCTAAGCGGCAGTTATGACTGGACAACCAGCCGGTAACTATGACGTGCACTGACCACCAGGGAGCAGACGCTCAACGCAGGAGTTGCCCCCTGGTGGTCAGTGCTCTCCCACAGCCAACCTCCTATGGTTCCTCCCCCTCCCCCCGGCTGGCCAGCCCCGATCACTGGCCAGGCTGAGACCCCACCGTGCACAAATTTGTGCACCAGGCCTCTAGTTTTGGCATAAAGTAGAAATTTTAACCACTATTTCTCCATCCCCATCTCTGGTGTGGTTAGTGGTTTTCTCAAGACTATTTATTGAATATCTTTCTGCATTTTACTTGAAATGCTATCTTTATCATATGTTATGTCTTTACACTATAAATCCCCCACTTATGTTTTAGAATTTAAAGTATCTGGCATTGGCACTTACCATCTCCTTGCTAGATAGCTGGGTCATAGTTGGCATGGACTATGCGTTTGAGAACTCAGGTGGGTGTGGAAATTACATAGGAACTACAGCCATTTGAAATATTGGTACCAAGTACAGTTGAATTTTATTTGGGTTTGCAATTAACTTAAATTATTCATAAAGAGTACACTAACATGCATCCTTAAAGAAAATATTGTGTATGTTTTGAATTGCTTGATACCTGCCAGAACTGTAGATCTCTTAAAATTAGGTCACATACTTTTCAAAGCTCCAAGAGTGTAGTATGACCAGTTTATGCATGAAGAACTATCACTCAGTAAGTACAAGCTCCAGTTGATGTTCAATAATCTGTTAAACAGATGTTCTGAGAGAAACAAGACTTTTTAAGAAAATATGTATTTATTGATTTCAGAGAGGGGAAGGGAGAGGGAGAGAAACATTAATGATGAGAGAGAATCATTCATCAGCTGCCTTCTGTACATCCTACACTGGGGATCAAGCCCGCAACCTGGGCATGTGCCCTGACTGGGAATCGAACTGTGACCTCCTGGTTCATAGGTCGATGCTCAATCATTGAACACCAGCTGGGCGAGAAACAAGACTTTTAATGTACCTCCTTTCCCAAAAGCTATTATAAACATCGTAATTAATGATAAAAACCAGTGAGTTGGGGCTCTATTAGTCACTCTAAAACTCTGAAGCTGTAAGTCTCCAAGTGAAATTTTTAAGATATTTTGCAAAATCTTTTAGTTGCTTTGCCTGATGTAGCAGACAGTCCAAAATACACAAAAACACTTTCTTTAAATGCTGCAGTACAGGTTTCTGTTATTGAAGACTTTCTTTCCCTCTGAAGTCCATTAATGGCCTTTTGGACCATTGCTTCCTAAGAGGATATTGCTTTTGACCCTTTTACTGAGCTGCCCAAGGTTTCCTGTGGCATGTGGCCTCCCTCACGGCAGTGAGCATTACACCGAGTTTGTTCCCTGGTGGTCTCTGCATGGAGGATATTAACAGAATTGTGGCACCTTCTACATTAACTGGCAAAGTATTCTAGGTGAGACAGAAAAATAATTTAAATTTCAGTTATTTTACTTACAAATAGATTAAAGCAACCCAGACAATAAAAATAAATTTTAATGTTTTACTGATCATTTATTTACATGTATATACATATTATAATCACAATGAGGAAAGAACATTCACTTTTGTTTGGTTTTTAAGGGAGTAAATCTGTTTATGTTCCACTTTAATAATTTTATGAAATGAAAGTATGATTTGATGGTAAGGGAAAATAAGTATGCAACATCTATACACTAAACCAACCAAAGAAATGTTCGTGCTACCTCCAAAGTTAAAGACACATGGAGAATCTTAATTATACCGCAAAGTCTAGAGAGTTATGTAAAAAAGTAAAGGCATTTGGAGATTTCTCAAGTTCCAGATGACCAGGCAGAAAATGTAAGTCATCAGCTAAAGAATAATAATGAGAGCAAACGTTTTTATGAACTAGGTACTTTAAACACTTTACATATATTAAGTCACAGTATCAAATTTCCTCTGCACTAATCAATAAATGAGCTTTATCTAGCCTATAAATCAGTGGACTATGACTGTTCTTATTTTACAGTGTCAGGTAAATAACTGGAACAAAAATGTGAGCTCCTGGACGTGGCAACTGCTAAAACCAGTTTTCAGGACTACACTAGATGCTAATGGTAGATCTACAGAGGCTCATTTTAAGCTCCATATTAGGAAACAATAAACCTTAAAGAAGCCTTAGCCTCTGAAATATCAGGTTAACAGTTTTAAAACTTATAAACATTATAAATTAATGTGGAATAACTTAAAAACATTCTTTAAGAGGCATCCAGTCTCTTATAGGCTTCTTCGATGAAAGTTAGCATGTTCTTTGTCTGAGACGAATTATGGAGAACATCAAAGTCCTTCAGAAGAGCATTCTGGTTTGGAATTTGTGCCAGAATTTCTTCCTGTGGGTACAATGTGTAATTAGTGTAAAAATGTTTATTGAAATATAATTGACAAATAACATTATATTAGTTTTAGGCGTATAACATAATGTTTCAATATTTGTATATATTGTGCAATGAATCTAGTTAACATCCATCACCACACAGTTACAATTTTTTGTGTGATGAGAACTTCTAAGATTTACTCTTAGCAACTTTCAAAAACACAATACAGTATTATTGACTAATTACTATACTGTATATTACATCCTCGTGACTTATTTATTTTACAACTGGAAATTTGTACCTTTTGACCATCTTCACGCATATAATTGTTTTTTAATCTTATTATGAAAAATATAAATGTACATCATTTAGAAAATGGTATAATAAATCTCATGTTCCCATCACTCAACTTCAAAAACCATCAACTCATTCTGTTCTTCTCTCAAATCTATATTATTCTGTTTTTCCTCTGCCCATTTTGCTCCTTACACCTAAGTGAATTGTAAATAGGAAAAGTTCAAAATACTTTTTGAGAAAATATAAAGACTCTCTACCACTATAAACATTTACACTATAATATCTACTAGGGTCCTTTGAAGAAAGACAAGTTAGCAGTGTATAGCCTACTACACATAAGACATAATATGATTTATGAAGAGTTATAGGTCATTGTTAGAAACATAAGCAAACGCAATTTACTTCCCTAAATCTATTCTACAGTTATATGACCACACAGATGCGTAAAAATATATGTACAAGGGTATACTCAGCATTATCTGTAATGATAAATGCTGGAAGCTAATTCCAGGAGGTCATAAATGCAAAAAGTTCATCAAAAGATTGATGGAACTTGGGGCTTATTCAGCAGGGCTGAATATCTACATATTACCTACTGCTGGAATAGCTAAAAGCATTTCCTCAAACCTGAAAAGTCTGCCTGCTGCCAGACAGCTGAGGGAGGGCAGTTCCCCAAACCTGAAAATCTACATGTTATTGCCTGCTACTGGGACAGTCGAGGGCAGTTCCCCCCAACCTGACAATGGCAACTATATAACAAACCTTACCTTTTGATATGTATAGCTGCTTTGCTTTAGGGCAATTTGTGATAATAAAGAGCGAGGGGTCCAGAGATGCAGAGCTGGTTACTGAAGCTAGGTCTCCTCTGGCTTCCCAAAATGCCTTCCAAATTTATATTTCTAGTCTCTTTTTTTTTTTTTTTTAAATTAAATCTTTATTGTTCAGATTATTACATTAGTTAGATAATACCCTGGCAGATAAAGCTTACTTATTTTCATCAGTAACTCACAACTTATATTATGGTACATCCACACAATGGAATATTATACAGTTATTAAAAAGGCCGAGAGACATCTACATAGACTGACAAAGAAAGATGTTCAAACTATAGTGTCAAATAAATAATTGTGTGTATATGTATACCATGAATTCCATTTGTTGTTGTTTTTTAAAGAAACAGGATACATAATGCTTTTAAATATTAAATTAATACAGTTAATATAGTAAATTGTTACCTGAAGTGTGGGTGCTTTGAGACTCTTCTGAGAAAGTTCTGGAAGGGAGAGTACATCACTGCTATCTATTTGAAACATCTAAAGGAGAAAAAGAAAGCTATAGGTTCTTTAAAAAGACTAATATCTCTGAACTTGTTACACAGAAAAGTTGTCTTGGTAAAATGTAAGCATTAAAAATTACACCAAGTCTAGCAATATATTATTAAACAATTACCTGTTTAAATTTCTCCTCTTCTTCTTCCACCTCACTTGTCAGAATTTGAATTTTGTTCTTTAGGCTCTGGATATCCCCAGTCACTGCCTCTGTGGTCTCTACTATTTTATCTATTTCTTCCTGAGTCAGAAAGAGAAAGTTAATGTTTCAAATTAAATATTTTATTAAATAACCCCCCAAAGATATATACATATCTTTTAAAAACCTTATATATTGCAACACTGCTAAAAGAAACTGGAAATATATTTGTTTTTCTTTCAAAAACCAGACTTGCTAGGAACTAATTGCCCACTGTAATACTGCATTATAAAGAAGTTAATTTCCTGAAACAAAAAGATATACCTCACGTACAAGAATATTTCCTCAAAAACTTACCGAAGCTGCTAGCATCGGATTCTGGAAGCCCTGTGTAAATCCAGCAGAGCCCAAGGGCTGATGGCCTGTTCATCTATACCCCCACCACACACCCTGGCAATCACTGACCCTTTTATTGTCCCCACAGTTTTTTGTCCAGATGTCATATAGTTGCAATGATATAGTACACAGCCTTCTTAGATTGGCTTATTTCACTTAATAATATACATTTAAGTTTCCTCCTTCCCTTTTTGGGCTTGATAGCTACTTTCTTTTTAATGCTGATTTTAATATCCCATTGTCTACATGTGCCACCATTTATTTATCCATTCACCTACTGAAGGACATCTTGTTTTTTTTCCAAGTTTTGGGAACCATGAATGGCAATACAAAGATCCGTGGGCTGGCTCCCTCTGAAGGCTCTAGGGAAGATTCCTTTCTTGCCTCTTCCAGCTTCTGAGGCTGCCAGCATTCCTTGTAGCTGCATCACTCCAATTTCTACATGTTTGTACAAGGCTCTTTCCTTTATGTCTATCCCTTATAAGGACATTTCCATCAGTTGAAGGATACTTGTCACTGGATCTAGGGCCCACCCAAGATAATCCAGGATGATTTCACCTTGAGATCCTAACTTAATTATACCTGGGAAGATTCGCTTTCTAAATAAGGTCATATTCCAGGAGTTAAGATTTAAACGTACTTTTCGGGGCCCACCATTCAACTCATATAGAAGGAAATGAATAACAGCACTGATGGAAGAGTTAATGACTAAATTTTTTCATTATAAATTTTTTACAATTAATTTTGTTCCATTGCTTTGGTTATTTTCTTTGGGTATTCCTACCATACCCATTTTGCAGCTTTTGTATTTTCCATTTTTTTCCCGATACCTTTAAAAAATAATCATTCTTTTTGATTCTTAACATTTTCTCCTTATTTCACCTTCTATGTATTGTAAGTATTATCAGTTGTATTTGTTTGCTTTAGTACTCTAACTTAGTCGGCAAATCCAAAAGGCTTTTTCTTTTATTGTCGCAGTCTTTCCACAGCTAGGGTTCAGGAATCTGGAGAAGGGCTGTGCATAAATGAATAGAGACTACACAAGAAATATAAATTTGGAAGGCATGGGGGAAAGCCAGGTGGAAATTTAGCTCTAGTGACTAAGCTCCCTGAATCTCCGGACCCACGGCTTTTTATTAATACATTTTGCCCTTTAGCAAAGCAGATATACATATCAAAGGTAAAGTTTGGTAAACAGTAAAGGATTATCAGGTTAGGGGAATTGCCCTCAGCTGTTTGGCAGCAGGCTCAGCCCTGCTGAAGATGTCCATCAGCCTTCTGACGAACTTCTCGCATTTATTATGCTAACTACTGTTCTTAGTCTCCAGCATTTTATTTCTAATTCCTTCATGAATTCTGTAACTTCACTTTTTGGTATAGCAGTTCCTCTGATAACGTTGTTTTGTTCAACCTCATTTTGTTATAACGAGGGGAAAGAAAAAATTCCCTGCTAGGGCCACCACTGTGTGGAGACTGTACATCCTCCCCATGCTTATGTGGGTTTTTTTTCCAGGTTTTGGAAAGTCACCACCAGCAGTAAGAAAGCTTTCTAAGTAATGCACAAGAGAAAACGAATGAATACAAATTCTACAAACTCCTAGTTCAAAGACCCTCTTATGCCAATGAAGAACTCTTATGCCCAAAATGTGAACAGTGACTTATCAAGTAACTGACTTATCAAGCAAACCACAGACTGCTGTGATACATGAAATATACATTTATTCAGTCTTCGTCCTCGGTTCCTGGCACAGAGTTTCTAAAACCTTTGTAACGCCTAAGTGATGGGGGGTGGGGAAGGATGGGATAAGAGCATAGTTATATTTGATTTTTGTCTTGGTTCCTGGCACAGCTACCAAAAACCTTTGTAATTTTCTGAGTGATTGGGGTGAGAGGAGCGTCTTTCGTTATTCTTAAGTCCTTTCAACCTTACCAGAGTTTATGATAATGCACACACAGAGCATGAAGGCTGGTTGCCAGAACAAGCAACCATGTGATCATGGTTGGAACTTCCAGTCCTACTCCCAAATCTGTGAATGGGAGCTGGGCTGGAGACTTAATTAACAATCAATATGCTTATGTGATGAAGCTTTTATAAAAACTCCCAACAATGGGGTTCAGAGAGCATCCAGGTTGGTTATCACATGAAGGAACTGGGAGGATGATGTGCCTGAAGAGGCATGGAAACTCTGTATCCCTTCCCATATACTGTGCCCTTAGGCATCTCTTCCTTTTGGCTGTTCCTAAGTTGAGTCCTTTATAATAAACTAGTGGCCTGGTGCACGAATTTGTGATCATTGAAAGGAAATTAATTAGAATTTCTCTACAATAGAAGTGTTAACCAAATTCACAATCGATAATGACAGATGGAAACACACGTGTGCGATTGGTGCAAGAGCTTTGTATGTATCGTGCATGCGCAAGTCAACTTAGCCTTTTATAGAATAAACTTGCTTAATTAGACCTGCTTTCTGATTTAGCTAAACTTTTTCCAGCCCAGTGAAGCACCCCAACTTCTCTTTCAGGTAACTGTCAGCAACACAGCAGTAAATATCAACATGAAACAGATTATTATTGTAGATCACGCAGGGAGACCAAAGGATGAAATATTTAACTGCCAGAAAATGGAGATTTAGAAAGCTTAGAAACTTGACCCGACTGAAAAGAAGTAAGAAATGGGGGACCTTGAAAATGACTTCAGGTTTTCTCACTGCGCAGAATATAGTCAAACACTGCTGCCGGCTCCGATTGCCCTTGAGGGCTTCTCCACCTCCCCCTGCTCCTGAGGGGTGATCGGTGCAACAACTGCTGCTCGCATCTGCCGGCCCCAATCGCTCTGCGCCATCAGTGTGTGGGAGCGGCGGCGGTAGGAGTGGGGCTGCCAGCAGACAGGGGACCAGGGGCCACAGCAAGAGGGGCTGAGTGGGGGCGTGGAGGATGGGCCGAGACCCACCCTTGTGCCCACTGCAGCATCACGGCTCACAGTTCCCTTTAAGGTGCACGAATTTGTGCACTGGGCCCATAGTCCTATATAATAAAAGTGTAATGTGCTAAGTGTCCGACTGTTTGGTCCACTGCTCGACCAGTCGCTATGATGTGCACTGACCACCAGGGGGCAGATGCTCCAACGGGTAGGTTAGCTTGCTGCTGGGGTCTGGCCGGTCAGGACTGGGCGAGAGGGCCGGACATGCCCTGGAGCCCTTCCACAGTCCTTCCCCGGTTGGCCAGCCAACCTCCGCAGTCCTTCCCTCCCCACTGGTCAGCCCCCATCGGCCCCGATCAGGACTGGGCGAGACGGCCCTGATCGGCCCTGATCCCTGACCAGGACAAGGGACCCCACCCATGTACTAATTCATGCACTGGGCCTCTAGTATTGTATAATTGAAATTTGCTAAAAGAGTAGAATTTAAATGATATTATCTACACCTCTCTCTAAAGGATATATGTGAGAAATGGATGTGGTAATTAACTAGATGAGAATCCTTTCACACACAGTGCATACCTATATAAAATCACCATAATGCACACTTTAAACCTTAGAATTTGTCAATTATATCTCAATGAATCTGAAAATAAAAAAAATAACCCATAATAATGTCATCCAACTGTTAGAACTAGTGCCAGTACTGAAAATAACCCTTGAAAAGTAGTAACATTGGGAGGAAATTAAACGTAATCTCACCCTATGAGAAAGCCAGGTAATCACTAAAAAATACTACCCTATTAATCTACAATATGTGTAGATTTGTTGCTCAGAAACTAATCCTTCCAACATTATCTAAATTATATAAACTAGAATAAATTATTTGTGAATTTTGAAATATTAGAAATCCTTGGCGTTCCTTACATAAACTACTACCACCTTGTACTTACTGAATTACTAACAAAGACCTAAGCACCACATTTACAAACAACACCAAAATGACTATGGGATATATAGTCCAATCTGCTTTACTTTTTAGAATTATCCAATAAGTCCCTTAAGGTTGCTTCTTTATCTACATCTATATAAAAACTTTTTTTTTTTTTTTTAAAAACTTTTTAAATTAGAGTTGACATGCAATATTATTTATATTACTTTCATGTGTACAGCATAGTGATTAAACAGTTATATAATTTATGAAGTGATCTCCCAATAAGGTGCTTTTCTTAATTGTTCAAGTATCCACTAAGTACAAGGCTGAAGTTAATGATAACAGCTAATGTTATTTCTCAGTAGCTTCTACAGCATAATGATTAAGAATCATGCTCTGACATTGGACTGGCTAGGTTTGCACTACAATTTTAAACAGTTTGTCTAAGGTTCATCCAGAAATGTCAGTATGTCTTTTTCACATTTGTAGCATGAGGATAATAGAGCATAGACCTCTCTAAGTCCTTGTGAGGACTAAGGGATATAACTGTAAGTGCTTAGAAAAGTGCCTAGAACAAAGAAAGCCCTCATTACATATTAGCTATAATAACAATGATGATGATGACTGTGTTCCTGACAATGAAGTACAGGATGGAAAAACTAATGTTTTCAAATTCTACAGCATTTAGTGATGAGTTCCTATAATTTGATAATAAAAAATACTAAAATAGCCTAGCCAGTGTGGCTTAGTGGTTGAGTGTCGATCTATGAACCAGGTCACAGTTCGATTCCCGGTCAGGGCACACACACGGGTTGTGGACTTGATCCCCAGTGAGGGTTGTGCAGGAGGCAGAGATCAATGATTCTCTCTCATCATTGATGTCTCTCTCTCCTTTCCTCTCTGAAATAAATAAAAATAGTTTTAAAAATCACTAAGATAGTTCAGTTATAAAGTCTGGTAAAAAAACCAAAAAAAAAGACAGTTACTTAATCATTAATATATTAAAAATACTTAAATTTAGAGGCCCCAAGTTTAGGTGAAGTTTTTGGTTAGAGTAAAAATAAAAAAAAATAAAAAAATTAATGAACAAACCTGGTCCAAGATCTAGTATTTATTGCCAGGAGAATATCATAATAATTTTAAAAACCTTTTGGTCTCTTCTCCGTCCCCCTAGGTATGGACTCCCTGTTCAATCCCATACCTGCAATGACGCCAGGCCTTCTTCATTGGCTCTGTGACGGGCCCTTTCCATTTTCAGTAGACTTGACATATTAGTTAAATCTTTCAGTTTTGGGGGAGGGACTTTTAGGGTTTCAAACATTTGTAGCAATCTTAGGGATAGAATAAAAACACAATTATTAGTTTATTTTTTGAGTACCATCAATATTACTTTTGTTTTTTTTGAAATACTGTTATTATCTTTTTTATTTGCCATCTTGCTCCCAAGGGCTTCATCTTTATTAAAAGTGACTCACCTTAGCAGTAAGTGTCCCCAAAAAAGCCCTGACAAATCATCATTTAACATTTTCTTTTATTAAGATTTACTTCAAAGCATGGGGGGCACTTAAGCTTCTTCATAAAAGGAAAATTTTCTATTTTATACATTTAACAATTACTTATATGCTTTTTAAAATAAAAATTTCCTTGTGTTTTTTAAAATGTGTTTTCTAGACTATTCCAGCACATAAGTGTATTATTTATTGTGAATTATTGAGTAAGAGATGGAGCACTGCTCTATAAATCTTAACAATGAGCCTGGATTCTAAATCTCAGTTGTTTTAGAGAATGTGATTAATAAAATGACTTTAAAGAAAACTGAGTCCCATAGACTTTAAGACAAATAAAACACTGAGATTAAAATGCTTTGTTCTAAAGCACTATTAACATGAATAGTATTAAAGTTTAAAAAGTCCTCCTTGAAACTAGGTTGATTAGAGCACCAATAAAAACTGACATTACTACCCTGACTTCTAGCAGAGAGCAATACAGCTTTCCAATATTTGATTCTTGTTTCCATAGTAGGAAAATATGAATTTGGTTGCTTTTACCTAATAGGAGCACTTAGGGGTGCTAAAAAGTTCTATTACTTAATCTGAACAACAGTGGAACCTAAGACTTATCTTCCTGGGGTCTTATTCAAAATATTAGTTTTTGTAAAGAAAAAAATAGGCAGTAAAACCCTCACCAAACATAATTTTCATCAAACTTTTAGGATAAACTTTAGTTTTCCAGAAAACCATCATTAGGGCATCACGTTTAAGCATAAATCTTGTCTGTCTAATCTTCCCAAGAGGGTAAGGCTTTGACTTCTTAACTAAAATAAAGTTTCTGTTTATAATCAGTTTCTTCTAAAAGTTCATTAAGTCAATTCTGTGGAAGGGACATCCACTATTCCAATGTCCTAAATAGTGGTCAGATTTCCAGAATTCTTTTAAAACTAATTAAACTAAAAATGTAACATGAATACATCCTACTTAACAATAATACTTACTATTTACAACATTGTTTCCTTAGGACAACTTTCCCAAAGCATGTTCCTCTAGAAACTATAGGGTATAACCACTTTATCTGACTAGCAACCCTGTTTGTCTGATCATGTGGGTATGTGTATGATACAGTCTATATCAATCATAACACTCTTGCCACAAAATCAGTCCGAAGACAGGAGTATCACTGAAGCTGGGCCAATCACAGTCTATCTCCTAGAATTTTGTGACTGGAGCTAAGAGGATAAGTGTTTTCTTTCTCCTCTTTCTTCACAAGGCTGAAAAGATACATAGGGAAGCTGTCTATGTCTACAATTCTAACCTAGTAAGGATAATCTGTCCAAAAGAATACAGCCAAAATGCAGACAGAGCAGAGATGAGACTAATATATGAAATAAAGAGTCCCTGTGATAGATACTAATTTGAGAGATGCTAGGTTAAGCAAAATAAAATACATTTACTAACTGCAGGACTTTTAATATGCTAATGGACCAAAACATTATTCACGATATATCACTTTTATTCACAGAGTATCTTTAAGAATAAGTGTTGCAAATATACTTTGAGAAATGCTGCTATAGGAAAATGTATTCAGAGATCCAATTAAAATAAATTTGCTAAGGCTGTAAACACTGCTAAATTAGTAAAAGGGAAAGTATCTTGAGTATTATTATTTTGGGGATTAAAGAAAGTGAGCTGCAAGAGCAAACACAAAAACAGGCAGTCTTTAAAATATACATCTCCATGGCTGCTACATGATGAAGAGACAGCCTATATACTGAACAATAATCTTTTCTGATTACCCAGTGTGACCACGGTGAAGAACAGCTATTATGTACTGTCATATTCTCATTTGTAAACTAACCATGGTTATTTGTCCCATATATTTTTTTTTAAAATATATTTTATTGATTTTTTACAGAGAGGAAGGGAGAGGGATAGAGAGCTAGAAACATCGATGAGAGAGAAACATCGATCAGCTGCCTCCTGCACGCCCCCCAGTGGGGATGTGCCAGCAACCAAGGTACATGCCCTTGACTGGAATCGAACCCGGGACCCTTGAGTCCGCAGGCCGACGCTCTATCCACTGAGCCAAACCGGTTCGGCTATTTGTCCCATATTAAAAAGACTATGAATAAGCTACTTCTTTATTATATATTATCTTATTGACTAACTTTTTTAGGGCACTCCTTCAATATTAGGCTGTTACTTCTATAAGCCATTACAGGCTTGCTTATAGAAGTCTTTCTTTAATCTCTTCAACCTCTCTCCACCAACTCCACCCCCATCTAACCCATCCCAACCTTTCTATTCTGCTACTTTACACTTAAAGTAAGCAGAATTTGTGCTCAGTCTTCCGAAGAATAAAGTACTAGGTCACAAACATTTCTGGGTACACCAGTAACTAAGATGCAGAAAATTCTCCTATGAAAAGACAATGTTGTGCAAATACTAAAAAAAAAGGAATCACTCACAGTGGTGTGACTTTTTAAGAACACATGAAAAGAAACCTCCATTTGTGACTTGCCACAAGAGGAAGAGCAGTAATATTCTGGAAAATTACACGAAAAGACAGTGATAGAATAAATAAGAGTGGTGAACTGTTAACTTCAAATTGTTCAAAATGCAGTTGAAGGGAGTTAAAGTTGACAAAATTCTCTTAAAGAATGCAGACTTGCATATAGCAGCAATTTAGGATGGAATGTATGTTCCCAAATTGTTCTTCTTTTTAAAACAACAACAAAAATCCCAAATGAAAAACTTTTCTATTCCACAAATGTCTGTTCTGCAACAAAGACAGATTAAACTTTTCCTAAATATGTTTTAATTGTTTCCAATTGCATAACTACTAGTATATTACCTTTTCTTCAGGCAGTTGAGATGATATTGAATTTGTTCATTTTCTCTACTTTTGTTACTCAAAATTGCTCTACAAAAGAAAAAGAAAAAGAAAAAGGATTGAGTAAATATTAGTTTGCCTCTTTCCTAGCCAGGCAGAATCAATCACTTTTTCTTTTATATACATTTTAAGTGGAGGGATAATCAAAGTTCTTTCTATCACATTACGGTGTTGTGTTTAATTTATATGCCTGACTCTTCTGATGGATTTCAGCTCCTTGAGAGCAGAACCCTTATTTTCTTTGTATTGCCTCCAGCGTGGTAACTTCCAGATAGTGTCAATTTGAACTCAACTTCTTCCTAAAATGTCCACATTGAACGGATCAGGCCACATAGACTTCATTTTTATTTCCCTGATGGAATTCTAAGTTTCTGAAAATAACCAAAACTTTCCTGCTTAGGCTAATGCTATTAAAAATACCTTCTGAAAGAGAAAAACATCCCATCACCATAAAATAGAAAATAACATTTAAAAGAATACTATCTATCGAAAACGTAAGTAGAAATAAAGTTAAGTGAAAAAATTTCATACTCACATGATGACTGTTTCCATCAGAGTTTGCAAATGCTTTCTGCTGCTCTCCGAAAGAGGTTGCCAGGTTTTCCTCCTGCTGGATGCTATCTTTACCTGTTTTAGACTAGTTTGCTCTGTCTGTCCTGGTGAAAGAAGAGACTGGTCAGTCTAGAAGTTTGTATGATTTTACTTAAAAAGTGATTAAAGTATAAATTTATCTAAAATAGCTAATGGAATCAAGAGAACCAAATATTATAAAGCTATATAAACTGTTTAATTTCCTCTTTATTGCACAGCCCTCACATGCCAGGTGTTAAATACGAACCTGCTACCTATTGTTATGTTAACTAAAATAATATTAGCCGACACTGCAGGTACAAAGCCAATTTTAAATGAATAACCAAGCTATAATTATTAGGATTCAACATAAAAGTATGGTTCTCAGAAATGATCTTAATTAAAGAGTTCGTTAAGACTTGGGCACTTTTTCTACTAAATGTTGGATGGCAACTGGAACAAAAGAGATTAACCAAACCTCAGACAGTATTTAGTAGATTGTTAACTGTTCTACTGAGAAGGGATAAACAAAGGAGATATACTATTGGCTCACATGAAGATTTACTTTGGAGAAAAGAGAAGTGAAATATTTATAAGAACGTCAAGCATTATAAAAGCACAAGTACTGTGCGCTCTGGAAGTATAAAAACAGACGACATAACCTGGTCTTGGATGAGGAGAGGCAGGCAATTCTTCAAGGAAAAGGTGATATTTAATTAAACTAATTTACTCCAAATAAAATCAGGTAGTGGTTCCAAACTAATCTGTGCAGTGGTGGCAGAACAGAAGCATATTTGTCTTGAGAAATCACTAAGTGCTTCTATGTATCACAGATGAGTAATAATTCAGACTGTGGGACACTTTTTCTCTAGTTCCTATCAATTTTATAACCCTACACAGTGTTTTGCTAGCGATGGTAAATAAAATTTCAGTTGACCAAAATAACTGACTAACCAGTGCTATTATTCTTGCAAAAATGAGAATGCTGCAGTTTGTTACTATCCTTTGCTTTTGCAGAACTCATAAACAAGATACTGATAATTTTTTCATGAATAAACATAGCTTGAGAAAGGCCAGTTCAACAAGATATAGAAAAGAAATACCTTTAGAAGACAGATGCTTTGGATGATTTTTATTTTTTTTCACTGTGTTTTTAACCTAGAGGGGAAAACATGTGCACATACACAGAAAGAATTAAACATCAGATAAAACATTTTTGCTTTGGCAATAGATTTGTCATTTATTTGGAAGAGTATTCATATAACTTTTGCCTAGGTAGAAAAAAGTATATTGCCACTTTTACAGAAAAAGGGCATGTATTTGTCTCAGGCAAAAAATACAACTAAAGCAACTCCTGGACAATGGTGATAATGTATAACAGAATGTCCTAGGATCTCAAACAATGTTTTAAAGAAATAATTTCTCACTTTGCCAGTGAAATAGTGTTACATACTTAATCTGCAAAACAAATAGTGGCACTGCCTAATACATGGTAAAACGGAAGAAAAAAATGTGATTATTTAGTCATTTATTCTTTTAAAAGAGATGGTAAAGTCATGGTAGGAAAAAGCTAATTCCCACCGAACTAATTTTTCTCTATCTTAATAAAAATCTCCTCCACCAACTGTCATATTCTCTTGTCTTTTAACATATGAATGCCATAGAATTTGTATCCTTTATTCCTAGTCTTCCCATTTAAATACTTTAGCAATGCCCTATGACCCACTCCTCCCCAAAGAATTCTGATTAATATCTTCAGAATTGAAGTAAACAATTTCTGTCTGAGAACTTTTACAAATCATGCTTTAAAAGCTCCCACAAAATATGAATTACTATAATTTCAAGTAAAAGTAGCCTTTAGTTTTCATATACTCCTTTACAGAGAAAAGATGATATTTCTAATGAGTTCTGGATGATAAACTAGGTTATTTTCATTACCTCTTTCTCTGATAACTCCACTTCCTTATCAACAATTTTTCTTTTTGGATTTCTTTTTAACTGTTGAGACCTCTTCTTGGAAGCATTTGCTTTGCTAGACATCTTGATCTAAATAGAACAATTCTAACAGTGCTTCAAAAAATCTGTAAAAATGAAAAGGACAGAAAAATGCCTAAGACTTGCATAATATTTTGTTCAAAAGACTACCTGTCTCTATAAATATTCCCATTTGGCCTTTTAAATATTTTAAACATTTAAATAGATTTAAAAACAAATAACATTGGTTCTTATTAGAGTGAGAATAGCCAATTTAATTTCATTCTTAGAAATTTCTTCCATTTGTATGGCTTTAAAAAACCACTTTAAAATGTTTTTGCATCTATAACTTTATACCCCTCCATACAATCACATTATCTCCATATTTAAATCCAAGAATATGGGAATATAAACTGCTGAATTGTCTTATTCTAGCCACAAATAACTTTGATATCTACTATCTCACAGGTATCACTCAGGTCTTCTTGTTTTAAACTTAATGGATTTATCATTCAACTTATGCCAAAAATGGAAGAAGGTAATTTTTAGAATTATACCATGAATCTAACTTGTGCAGACTAATGTGGTAAATTCACTCACAAGGATTTAAGCTATGTAACTGTCTGGGTTATGTGCATTTTAACAAGAGCACAGAAGTATACTGATTCCTCTGTCCCTCCCACAAATTAAAAAACAGGCACAGGAGTAGAGTGATAACATCAATGATAAAATTTAGAATAACCGTTACCCTTTCTCCATCTAATAATTTTTAATCACCAAACTCATTTCTGCTAAAAGGAACAGAGGAATAGGATATTTATTCTTGCGTTAGGTTATAAGGAGTAGATAGCCAGAAATTAGGTACAATATACATGGAGATATGTAATACACATATACATCCATACATAAATTCCTATAGTGCTTCTAAGTATAGAAATTGAGAGTATTGATTTAGAAACTTTTATAACAATTTGACAATTTTGTCTATATTGAATCTGATCATAAAATAATTGGCTTTGCTTTTTTCTTTTTAGATTTCATTTTTCTAGTAATTTATTTTTTCCCCTAAAATATAGACTGTTTTTGAGCATTTTTAGGTTTACAGCAAAATTGAGCAGAAAGTACAGAGTTCCAATATACCCGTATACCTCCTCCCACCCCTACCCTTCCCCACCATCAACATCCCACATCAGAGAGGTACATTTGCTACCATTTATGGACCTACATTGATACATGACACCATGCAGAGTCTGTAGCAAGCATGTCAAACGTGCGGCCTGCGTGTGGCCCACTACGAATATTTTTTGCGGCCCAGCCAATATAATGGTATCTAAGAAAGATTTTAATAAACATTTTGTAACTTAATTTTTACAATATCCCGTTATACATAATTATTAATAACGAACTACAATGTTCACTAATGACTGATTACTATAATCATGTTGCATTCATTTCCCTTATGTGCCTTACGTGCAGGTGCACCATTTCTCTCCACTAATACTAGCAGCGAATATTCTAGCAGCCAATTGCCACGTCATTAGTCTTGGACTGACTTGTTTGGTGTGCGCAACAGGAAATACTTTGCTTTCGGAGAACAAGAAAAAGAGGTTTACGCGCGTTACTCTTATTAATTTGTGCAGTTATTCAGTGTCTGGTAAATTAATGTTCAAGAAGAAATATTAACTTTTATTAAAAGATTCTATTATTTTATGTTAACGATTACTCATTTATTTTAGCCCTTTGTATTCAGCATGTCTCTATCGAAAGAAACCTACATTTCTATGAAAATTGAAGCTTTTGTTTTTTGCAGCCCACATAAACTTCAACCTTGTTTATTTGGCCCGTGTTAGCCTTTGAGATTGACTAGCAATTCATTTTTAATAGAATTTTACAAGTGTCAGATGTGACTGATTAAAAATTAAAAAACAAAAATTGGTCCTTTAATCACAGTTTGAGAAACACCATTTTCACTGAAACCTACTTGAAGCAATAAGCCACAATGCCAATGTATCAACCTTGGCACTACACTGTACTAACAGTGGGAATGGGCTAATTCTCTGTTGTGGGTGCGTCCTCTGCACCGAAGGATGTTTAGCAGCATCCCTGGCTTCCACCCACAAGAGTAAGTAGCACCTTCCCCAGTTGTGACAGCCGGAATGATCTCCAGACGTGATCAACTGCCCCTGCAGTGAAATCGCCCGGGGCTGGGAACCACTGCAGGAGTGAGAACACATTGCCCAGGTTCCACATCCTGGCTCTGCCATTTAACTAGCTGCAGAGCCCTGGCCAAAGAAACTTGCTCACTTCCCCCCGGGGTAAAATGGGTTAATAAAAGTACCAACACCAAAGGCTTGTGTAAAGCTAAAATTTTGTGCAGAATACATCAACTGCATGGAACAATATCTGGGATATAGCTAAAAAAAAAAAAAAAAAGGGGAATAGAAATTTTAGATCCACAGGAAACCACAGCTTAGTGGGTACAGATACAAAAAAACCAACAACCAAAATTATTATTGATAGTTATATACAATGTGACAAGTGTTATAAGACAAATGAGTGGATGACTATCTCAAGATGGTGTGTGCGAGAGAATAGGCAGTATTCAGATAAAAACAATTATCAAACGCAATTCAAAATGCGTTACATTTTGAAATACTGAGCCAGAAGGACAATGACGTCTTGGGGAGAAAGGAGCGAACACGGGATGGCAGGACAGCGTGAAGAGACGGGTGCGTTCGGCGACCCTTGCACGTGCCCGGGGCGGGGGAGGGGGGGCCTGGACAGAAATAACGGGAACGGTGGCCGGGGGCCGACTTCGTGGTGCGGGAAGAACGCACGCTTTCCGGGGTGGGACACAGGGAGGACCGAGGCTGCCCTGTCCCTTACCAGCTTGCTGATACTCGCGGAAACCAAGGCTCTCAGTCTCGACCTCGGCGAGGGCAGAAGACGTGAGCACCGCGAGTGGCAAAACACAAGCCCAATGCTGACCTCTGGACAGTGACGCCGGCGGTCGCCGACCGCAGGAGCCTCAAGGCCAGACACTAAGCTCCGAGGCTGCGCCGGGTCCCGCGACGGGCTGCGGGGAGATGAAGGCAGAAGGACGAGGGAGAGGATGGTTCTCGGAAAGGAGGGGCGAACCAGCGTGGCTCCACTCCCTCCTCGCGAGTCAAATAATTCAACCCGTGGCCCGGCAGGGCAGACCGGCTCTCATTCCCGCCCCCTCCACCCCCTTCTTTTTGGAAAAATCACCTCACGCTTCTCAAATGCAAACCGCGGAGTTTGCCACGAACGGGTGGGTCACAAAACTCCCTCTCGCATCGCACCCACGGGCCAGGCAAGGCTTTCACTACTCACCGACCGCTCCCCGCGAACCATTCAGCGAGCCGGACTCGCCGAGATTCGCGCCCAAACCGTCAAACCGGGGAAACCCGGAAGTGGCCTGGTAGAGACCGGAAGCGCCGCTAGCGACAAGTAGGCGGCTAGCCACGCCCTGACGTCATTCGGAGCGCGCCCCCCAAGTGCGCGAGGTGATTGGCTGGAAGGAGGGCGTTGTCGACCTACGCCCCCCGACTGGCTCGCTCGCGGGGTCCCCGCTGCGTAGAACTCTGGCTGGTGGGGTCGGGGGCGCCCCGCTTCCGCCGCGCTCTAGCGGAGCCCAGGTCCGGGACCGACCGGCCAGTGAGTAGGACCGTGCACCTTGGGGCACGTCCGCCTTTACCGTCCCTCCGTTCTTCTGGCTCCTTCCCCCTCCGCCCCCCCCACTCCCGTCCTCTGAGCCTCTGACCTCTCCACCTCCAACTTCTTCCTGCACGTCCTGCTCGGACGGGATCGCGCTCTCCTCTACCGTATCCTGAGGCTTAGGTTCGCCGCCGACCGCTCACTCTCAGGGAGGTCCTTGGGGGTTGAGAGGTACTGCGGGGCAGGTGTTTTTATCGGGTCGGGGCCGTGTCGCCATGTTCCCTGGCCACCCAAGCACCCCGAGGCTCCTAGGCAGAGGTCACTGGTATGGTTGCAGAAGGGTGCGCTGGCGCCGCATGTTCCTGTGAGTGAGAGTGAGTGAGTGTGTGTGTGTGTGTGTGTGTGTGTGTGTGTGTAAGAGGTGGCGGTACTCCAAGTGACTTTCGGTATGCAGGTAACGGAAAGTCAGATCTAAATTGACGTAAAATTGTAAACTACTAACTTGTTCTCCGTTCTATCTAGAAAGAGAGCATTATATCAGAGGGTCGAAAACGTG